GAGAAAAGAAACCACACAAAGGATGAACAGAAAGAACACTGGGGCAGGACACTGGACATTCTACCTTTCCTGGGTACTTTTCCAGCTTTCCGATTGTGCTGCCATAAACGTGCTTCACTTCAACTAAGAAATCCGGAGTTGAGAAGCGACAGGAGCCGGGTTGTGGGGGCAGGGACGGGCGTGCCCGTGAGCAGCTGGGCCTCGCCCTGGCACTTGCCCCCTGTCCTGTGCTGCCAGTGAGGCTGCCCTGTGTGGGCCACCAGCACCCACAGAACATTCTAAGGCGTCGCCAAGGTCAAAAGGCAGCGTGAAGCTGGGGTTTTGGCCTTTTCCTACAGCCCGAGGCCCGGGCCCCCAAGCTCTTCTCTGCCGGCAGCCCGCTCCTTGATGCATCGTTGTGCCTGGCGTCCCGAGGGCACTCATCTGCTTCAGCGTCTGAGGTGGGTGATGACCCCGAGCAGTGAGGCAACACTCAGTTCTTTGGAACTCTTTTCTCATCCCAGCTGCCACCTCTCAGGAAAAGCTTGTCTGGGGCCCAGGGGCTGGCACTGCCTGCGGGGAGTGCATTTCACAAGAAGGCTCCTCAGACAAGTGCTGGTGTGTCTTTGGGGAAACAGTCTTTTGGCGGGGCGGCAGCGGGAGCAGGGCACACTCCGGGGAAGGGAACCTTGGGTGTCCAGATTCGGGGATGTGGTTCCTTCGTGGGTGCTCCCAGCCTGACAGTATCCTCAGGCTCCGTCTTCATGGCTGCCCTGCGGGCTCTGAGAAACAGCCTGGCAAGCAGGCTCAGGGGCCCCATGGACTCAGCTCAGGGGCCCCATGCCTCAACCCAGCCACTTGAAGGCTGATCTCTTAGAAACATCTGCCAGGCAGCTTTGAAAGAAGCGCAGATCCTGCTGCTTTTGCTCAGGCAGGATTCTGAAATCTCACTTCTGCTTTTTTATTCATGGTAGACCAGGAGCAAATTTGTATGAGGATGGCCTTGAGCAACCCAGACCCCAAGCCCAGTTTGGAAGCAGTGACTCTGGGAGAAGGGTGGCTTTCTGCATCACAGCTTTGCAGGTTTATCCCCCATCCAATGGAGGTGGGCTTGGAGTGGGCGGACTCAGGAGCAGGTGTGCCGCAGAGAAGACAGGGATGGGAGCGTGCTGGCTGGGCCAGGGCCTCCAAGAGCCCCCTCTCTCCTGACCTCTGCCCTCCCGACCTCTCACTTAGAGACAAGTGGCAGAGCTGTCAGTGAAGTGGCTCCGCGGTCACCAAGGCCCAGTGTTAGTCGCTTGGTCGTGTCCAACTCTTCGTGGCCCCATGGACTGTAGCCTGCCAGGCTCCTCTGTCCATGGAATTCTCCAGGCAAGAATAGTTGAGTGGGTTGCCATTCCCAGGGGATCTTCAAAACCCAGGGCTCAAACCTGGGTCTCCTGCATCACAGGCAGATTCTTGACCGTCTGAGCCTTCAAGCAAATGGTATTCAGAGGCAGAAGTGGAGGTACCGGTCTCGGCCACCCTTGGTAGCTCCATGAGCTTGGTCTGGGCCTCAGTTTCCTCTCTGTGCAGCAGGGGAAGGGACACTCGCTTTCAGAGCTGTGTGGAGGACAGAATTAATGCATACAAAGTGCCTGGCACGGTTAATGCCTCTGGTCAAACGGTACCCCACGCTTCCAGAAATGGATGACTTTTCTGTCCAAAACATGCTGAGGGTTGGAGCCGACGATACGGTTTTTGTCTGATACTGCTAAGGCCTGGGGTGGGGAGAATTCACTTTGGGAGCATCAAAACTGAGTCAGGAATGAAAGGCTCTGGTGGTGGGGGGCTCAGGGTCTGACCAGGGTAGACCTGGGTTCAAAGCCTTGCTGAGGAAGACATACCGGTGTGACCTTGAGTGTGTGGGTGGCTTCTACATGCAGAAAAGTGGTAAAACCTCCCTTCTGAGGAAGATCAGCTGAGAGTCCTGCATAAAGTGTTTAACAGCTTAAATATGTTTTGCTTTGTGAAAAAAAAAAAACAAAAAACGGGCCTCAAGGTCAGATACAAGTTTCTGTAACTCTCTGTAACTCACCGAGCCAGTGGCTGGGGTCTCTGATGCAGGGAGGGGTTAACATGGGGCTGGGGAGACTGGAGGGAGGTGGGGGGCTGCTCTCCTTCCCATGTGACTTCAGAAAGGGTATTTTTTTTCCCCCTTGGAGGAGCTGGAAGGAGAGAGTTGGCTTCAGTTTTATAATCGGAAACAAGAAAAATAACAGGCTTGAAAAAATGAGTTTCTGGGAAACACTGCCACGAGATGACATTAGCACCTAGTACGTTCTCCCCAGGGGAGAAGTCAGAACCGAGGTCTATGAATTAAACATCGATTTTTTTTCTCCTGCCCCACCCCCTTTTTTTTTTTTGGATGACAGTTCCAGGCTTTGTGGTCAGCTGGGCTGGCACCAGGCGCACTGCAATCCTGCATTCTTCCTCAGTTACTCAGCTGCCAAAGGCTGGTCCTGGAACGATGCTGCCTTTCCACAGAACTACTAAGTGTTCTGGGTCAGGGACTGATAAGGCTGGTTTATTTGCCTTTGACAGCGATCACACCTGCGGAAGGTACGGCACTTGCCCTTGTGCTCAGGGATTTCAATGTTTACCCAGAGACAGACGGCGCCCCCAGCCCAGCGGGACAGGAAGGGAGAAAGGCCGACCGTCCCGCCGGCATCCTGAGCCCCCCGCTGACTGGGACAGGAGCCCGGCCTGGGGCTGAGAGAGGCAGCAGTGACCCAGCCCGAACTCCAGCTACCAAGCCTTGCCCGCTGCCTGCTCACTGGGCACCAGCTGGCTCATGGAGTGTCGACCAGAGAGGGCAATATAAACAGGGCCCCAGAACCTCCTACACTCACGAAGTGTCGACCAGAGGAGGCAATATAAACAGGGCCCCAGAACCTCCTACGCTAGCGCGGCACAGTGATGGAGACGAGAAGACAAGTGGGCAGCTTTAGTTAAAGGGAAGGGCTCTGAAAACTGCACCTCAAAAAGTTAAATTCCCATTCAACCCAGCAATTCCACTCCTAGGTAGACATCCCTAAAGACTGAACATGGGTGTTCAGACAAAAACTTGGCGCACACACACACTCATAGTAGCCCTATTTGCACTGGCTCAAAGATGGAGACCACTGTCAGGGCTGCCAACAGGTGGAAGAATGAATGCACCAAAGGTGGTCCAGCCACACAATGGGGTACAACTCAGCCGTGAGAAGGAACAAAGCTCTGACACACGCCACAAGGTGGATGCACCGCCAAAACACGATTCTCAGTTAAAGAAGGCCCTCCCTGGAGGTCCAGATGGTAAAGAATCTGACTGTAACGTGGGAGACCCGGGTTTGCTCCCTGGGTCGAGAAGATCCCCTGGAGTAAGGGCATGGCAACCCACTCCAGTATTCGTGCCTGGGAAATCCCATGGATGGAGGAGCCTGGTGGGTCACAGGCCATGGGATCACAAAGAGTTGGACACAACTGAGTGACTAAGCCAGAAACAAAGGTCACACAGTGCAGGGTTTCTATGAAATACCCAGAAGAGATCAATCTATAGACAGAACAGATGAGTGGCTGCCTGAGGCTGGGGTGGGGGGTGTGCGGGGGGAGAAGGAATGAGGAGTGAGTGCTTAGTGGGAACAGGGTTGATTGGGGCCGAGGAAAATATTTTGGAATGAGTAAAGGTGGGTCTTCCCAGGTGGCACTAGTGGTAAAGAACCCGCTTGCCAAAGCAAAAGACAAAAGAGACACAGGTTTGATCCCTGGTCAGGAAGATCCCCTGCAGGAGGGCACGGCAACCCACTCCAGTATTCTTGCCCGGAGAATCCCATGGACAGAGGAGCCTGGCGGGCTACAGTCCATGGGGTCGCAAAGAGTCAGGCACGACAGAAGTGACTGAGCACACACGCACGCAGAGGGGTTGGTAGCCCAGAATGTGAAGGTATTAATGCCGCTGAATGGTGTTCTTCCAAATAGTTGGTTTTATGCTGCATGAAGTCCACTACAATTGAATAAATAAAACCCAGCTGCTACATGGGGTGGGACTGGGGCAGCAGGTGTTGGGGGCCCTGGGGAGGCCTCTGAGGAGAAATGTGCGCAGGACCCTGAACGCTGAGAAGGCACCAGGCTTGTGGAGGGTTCCTGGTTCTAGCCAGAGGGCAGTGAGGACAGTGGTCCTTACGGGCTCAGGAGGTGCCGACAGAAAGCCAGCGCGGCTGAGATGCTGGGCTGTATCATCTTCTAAGAGAGCCCAGGACAGAGAAGAGAGAGAAGCCGACTGTGGAAAGGGGGCAGGGGCCAGATGGCGTAGGACTACCCTAAACAGGGTGGAGGGCACTGAAAGAGGCAGACAGACGTCTACCTTGGAGGTAAACAACTGGTCCGGGGCAGATGACGGTCCTCAGCTGCGGAAGGGTCACTTTTGTTAAAACATGTCATTGAGCCCCGGTCATTGAGCGCCAGTGGGTGTCAGCCTGCCTGGTGTGTCCCACTGCAAGCCCCCAACAAGTTGCGCTCTAGAGCCCTTCTGTTTGGGTAAGAATTCGGCAGGGCCTGGGCAGGACCCGGCCAAGGGGGACTACGGTGGTCTGTCACCAGCTCCCCCACCCCCACCCCCAGGTGAATGCCTGAGAGCAGCCCCTGGGCCAGAAGGAGTCCAGGAGAGGGGGTCTGCTTGGCTTGGGGAGGCCAGAGCCCTGGCCCTCAGTTTGGAGGCCACTGCCCTCTGATGCCTGGGGTCACTTCTGGAAACAGCCTCTGCTCTGTGGTCTGCTGGCCCACGGTTGTCCATGGAAAGGCTGCCCTGTGGGCTAGTTTTGGACACCCCGCCCCCTCCTCGCAGGTTCTGGCAGTCGACTGTCACCATGGGTCAATGGACTGGGTCCTGGAAGGCACCAGCCACGGAGCACTGACCGCAGAGCTGGACTCCAGCCCCGGCTGCGCCCGCCCACCCAGCACACCGGCCACTGCCCACCCAGCACACCGGCCACTGCCCTCCCTCCCTGGCCAGCCACGCTCACGGCCTCTGCCCTCCCGGAGCTGAACATTCTGTGGGGACGAGAGCCATAAACATAAAACTGGCCAATGAATAGAATTTGTGATTGTTTTCATAGCCAAATGGGAGAAGAAAAATACACCAAAGTGGCCAGTCGCCTATTAGCCCTGATTTATATTCTACTTTAACATCTCATCCAAGGAAATGAAAGGTATGTGCTCATCAAATATAATCATGTAGAGCTTTGAAAGGGGAAGAGAAACGGCTCTGTGACAACTCCCCAGGCCTGCAGAGAACAGCAGGAGACGTGTCACGATCAAGCCAGCTAGCTCCTCCGGCAGCCACCCCGGGGACAGGCGGCCAGCCGTGGTTTTTCCCTTGTCAGCTATTCTCCAGGCGGAGGTACGCTGCCACAGTGTGGTCCATGCAAGGGACAGACACAGAGCAACACCCGGACGGCAGGTACGGATGCCACAGCATCGCAGGCCAACCTGGGCCGGGCTTGCGAGGAGCCCTCCGGCAAACCCTTTGAGGAAGGTGAGCGCGGTGACTTACATGAAACTGACAGGACTTGCATCTCACTCGCTTCGGTGACAGCACCGAAGTTGAGGCAGGGGGCTGCCGCTGAAGACCTGGGGCTGGGTCTCAGCTCCCTGGTGCCCCCTGCCGAAGTGCCACAGCCTAAACCACCCAATGTCTGGGGCCCCTGCGGGAACTCCTCGTCTCCCTGGCGTTCTCGCAGGGAGAAGGGCATCGGGTGGGCGCTGCCCTGAGGCTGTGCAGAGACTGAGGACGGAGGCTCACTCCTCACTGGGTGAAGGCTGAATGAAGGCGCCATGTGAAGGGGACACTACAGGTCCCCGCGGGAGTGACACTCTTCCTGGGGGGAGGAAGATACCCAAATATATTGGCTGGGTACAGAGCCGCCGGGCCACGGAGGCTAATGTGACGGGGTGGAGCGGGGCAGCAGGGATCAGGGAAGGCCTCTCTGAGGAGGCGGCATGCAGACTGAAGCCCGAGGGATCATCAGGAAGTGGCCACACGCAGATCTACTGGGCAGCATGCAGGGCCAAGGCCCTGGGGCAGGAGAGAGCAGTGAGCTCCTGCGGTGGTTCTCAAAGCATGAGCTGAGGAACCCTGGGGGCGCCTCCCAGGGTCAGAACTCTCATAAAGATGACAACGGCATTTTCCTTTTACACTCCTCCCAGGAGGACGCAGAGGAGCTTTCCGGAGTCCAGGCCAGCATGACAGATTGAAAGCAGCAGCAGCCATGAGAAAACCCAGCTGTTGTCTATTAAGCCAGATATTAAAGAGACTTGCAAAAATATAATATTCACTTTTGTTTTGTTTTGTAAAACAGACTTATGGTTCATAAAGAACTATGTTATTTACTACTTTACATAGGACGGGTTATTGTTATTTTTTAAACAAATACATTTTTAAAGTATTTCTCAGTTTTAATTTCCAATAGCTGAAATATGGGTAAGTACAATCCACACAAACTAAAGATCTTTGGGTTCCTTAATACTTTTCAAAGAGTATAAAGTGGTGCTGGGCCTTCCCTTGTGATCCAGTGGCTAGGACTCCACGCTTCCACTGCATGGAGCACGGGTTTGATCCTCTGTTGGGGAACTAAGATTCCACATGCCACACAGCCAAAAAACAAAAAAAAACACAAAGGAGGGATCCTGAGACTCAAACCTGGAGACACGCTGACTTGGAGGAACAGCAAGGGTGGGGGCTCGGGCAGGGGACGGGGTGAAGGCTTCGGGAGAGCTGCGTCTGAGAGGCTGGCCGGGGCTCATGGCACAGCGAGCATGCAAGGTCAGAACGAGAGACCTGGATTTTGTTCTAAATGCAAAGAGGAAGCTACAGGAGGGCGGCAGGGAGAGGCATGATGTGATGTGATTTTTGTTCTAGAAAGATCCCTCTGGCTGCGTGGAAGGGAGAGGATGAGCCTGGAAGCCAGGGAGCATGTGGATGCTGCTGCCGTGAAGAGGGGAGAAGTGCTGGGGGCCGAGAGAGGGAGAAAGACCCGGTGTGTTCTGGAGACGTGGGTGTGGGAGAACGAAGAGAAAAGATGAGGGATGATGCCAAGATGCTGGGCGGCTGTGGGGTCAGATTCTGAGGCAGCAGGTGGTGAGCCACCGGGAGGCGGGCGGGGTCCCCTCTTTGAGGGAACGCTGACTCTCTCTGAGTCATGCCAAGCCTCAGCACTTTCCACTGGCTCTTTAGGTCGCATCTCTGGCCCAGGCGAGGACAGGAGGGCAGCCAGGCCTCTCTACCCAAGGCCCTGGAGCAGCCGTCCTGCGGCCGCATCTCTGAGAACGTTCCCCACCACCCGCCCTGCCAAGGGCTGCCGGGGGGAGACACTGCTGAGGGGTGGGTGGTCGCTTTCAGGAGCTTCCTGTGATACAGTCCCAGCTGGTGCCCTGACCCCGGGACCAGCAGGAAGACACCGTGCATGCCAGCTGCGCCAAGCCCTCTGCAAGGAAGGTCCAGGGCAGCAAAGGTAGGCTGCCATCCCTGGCACCGGACAGCCTGGCCCCTCTCTGGAGGTCCAGTGGGATGGAAGAAGTGATCGCATGGCCATCTGCAAACGGTGGGGGGGGATCCTGTGGACGCCCAAGAACCTGACATTTGGCTCTGTTTATAACTTTATGCTCGCCTTGTTCCAAAGACGAGGGAGTGGAAAGGAGGACCAAGCTTTCCTCCTTAACCCATTACTTCCTGAGCTCAAAGAAGCCCTGATGACCCAAAGAAATGGTTTCTTAACTCACAGAATCTTGCACATCAATTACATTTTAATTAAAAAAAATTACAAAGAGGTGCTTATAGACATGTTATAATAAAATTACAACTGTGTGTGGGATTTCCCTGGCAGTCCAGGGGTTAGACTCTGCCCTTCCAATGCAAGGGGTGCAGGTTTGATCCCTGGTTGGGGAACTAAGATCCCACATCCTGTGCAGCCAGAAAAAAAAAAAAAAAAAAGAATTATAACTGTGTGGAAAAAAAAAGGAAAGGAAGAAAGAAACGATTTCTTACCAGGCCAGTCTGTATTTAGTTAACCTAGACTTATGGTCATCATTTATGTCTACTTAGCAACCATCTCTACAGAGCATGAAGCAATCTGGGGAATTTTTTTTAATGTTTATTTATTTGGTTGCAGCACACGGGATTTTCACTGCATTATGTGGGACCTTTCTCTGATGCGGCTCCTGGACTCTCTAGTTGTGGTGCACAGGCCCAGTAGTTAGGATTCACAGGCTTAGCTGCTCCGTGGCATGTGGGATCCCAGTTTCCCCACCAGGGATCAAACCCGAGTCCCCTGCATTAGAAAGCAGACTCTCAACCAATGGACTACCAGGGAAGTCCCAATCTGGAGAATTTTTAACAAAGAACCCTCCAGACCCCTCAGCAGGCAGAACCGTCTCACGTTTCACGGCTGAAAACAGGCAGGACTACAGTCAGTCTCGAAACCTAAGACCGGATTTAACAATGGAAGCAATCGCAGGCTGTGGGTGGCAGAGTGAACTGGCGCACTTTTTCTGGGACTACATATATTAAGATGAAAAAAACCTCCCCTTTGACTTGGCAGATCTACCATTGGGTATTTATCCCACTGACACATGACATTTGCACACTTACAACAAGAATACCCCAAGGAGATTCACTGTGACGATGGATGAGCAAGAAGCTGGAAATGACCAGCATCGCTGTCCAGTCAGTGACCAGCGTCCAATGCCCATCAGCATGAAATGTTACAGAAGATTCTTTGGGTCCATCCATATGAAAAAAAACTATACCACAGTGAAGGAGCATGAAGTCGGCTTACACATGCTTTCATGTAACGCTGACTCGTCAATAATCGAACACAGCGAGATGCAGAATCACACATACGGCATAAGCCCGGGGTATAAAAACAGACAAGCAAAACATGTCTGGAAGGACATGCAAGAAACTTTTAACCATGGTCACTTCTGGGGCCAGGCAGTCTTATTTTTCATTTTATCATGTCCTGTTTGGGTTTTAAGAAGTCATATGCTTATAGCATAAACTATATGAATCCCATGGAGAGAGGAGCCTGGCAGGCCACAATCCATAGGGTCGCAAAGAGTTGGACACAACTGAAACGACTTAGCATGTACAGCATATACTATATTTCTAAAATCAATGAATCAAATCGAAGAACGAAATGTGAGGTGGAAGGGAAACAGGGACCCTGGTTTGGGTAAGGTTCTATTGACCCCATTTGATTCTTAATTGGGTAACTGCTTTTGAAAACATTTCGCAACATTTGCAGTTGAGGTGTGAAGCCCTAAGCCTGGAGGGGTGAAGTTGCAGGGAACAGCTTGGCCAGTTTTCTGAAGTTCTGTAAACAAGGGCAAGGTTCTCTTGTGAGAGGTCAGGGTGCAGACATATCAGAACAGGAAGGGGGAGCCCACTGGCCCTTGTGGAGAAGCGGTGCTTGCAGCTCCACTGGAGACTTTGAATTTTCTATTCATGCTTCTCTTTCAGATAGGCGGGGAGGAAAGTTAGAGCTGTACTTTGGTGAAAGTGGGAAGAGAAGCTCCCAGAAAAAAGACAGTGGCAGTCACCCCGTGGGCAGCAGGACCTTCTTCTGAATTCTCACTTCTTTAGGGGCTTAAACAGGAACCACACACACCAAATCTTTCTAGTCAACCTACATGGAAAAGGAAATGACTCTTCCACAACCTCATTACTAATACTCTAAGTATTTCCAAGAAACTTCCAAGAAAGTTTTAGTCTTAATTCTGAGAAGCTCTTCTACATCCTCAAACATCCTCAAACAAATCTCTGGAAAACCAAACCCCAGTGATGGAACATCAAAGGGAAAGCCAAGATTTCTTTCTGGGGCTTGTGTCTGATCTTGCACTGGACTTTGATAAGTTCTAAGAAGCTGGGTTTCTGAGAGGGGAAGGGATGCTTACGAATGCTCGAGATACAGAAGGTCCTGGAATCAACCCTCTCCCACCCCCTGGAGGGGACAGGAGGTGGTGTGTGTGGGGGGGGCTGGCTTACCTGGCACCCTGTCCACAGAGGCGAACACAGAGCGCTGCACAGTGGGGTCGCTGCTGCCCCGGCGGCACTGGTCGTAGAAGCGGAAGGGCAGGTGCTGCGCTGAAGATGAGCCGAGTCCAAACCCCAAGACCTCGGTCGTCGGCTGGATCGGAAGGTCCAGGAGGGCTATGTTCAAACAAACCCGTGGTTCAAGCTCAGCACGTACGATGGGCGTGTAGGTGATGAGACTTTGGATGGCTGTGGCCCAGCCAGGCACATCCCGTGGGCGATTCTAGGCAGGCAGCCGACAGCCTCGAGCTGGGGAGACCAGCATGTCACCGAGGGTCTCGACTGAGGCTCAAAACACAAGGGGCGCCTTGCATGGTGTTCAGAGAGGAAGGCCAGGCCCATCTTCACCTCAGAGTCTTGGTTTCCATGCACAAAAACCATACCAAGGCTTAGCGTTGTGTACGGTTTCAGACCCTGAACCAAATGAGGCCAGTTTTGCCACGAAATTCACAAATCTATGCGTGCAGGGAAGAGTGTGTGTGAGAGAACACACACGCGTCTGTGCTTGTGTATTTATGACTCTGTGTGTGTATCTGTTGCTGTCTTCCCTTCCACACGAAAATCTCACGATACAGCAAAATGTGGAGGGGCCTTTTAAAATTTATTTAAGAAATACCCAACGCGTGAGACTTTGCAGGCGGTACAGTGATTAAGACTCCACACTTCCAACACAGGGGACCACAGGATTGATCCCTGATTGGGGAACTAAGATCCCAGACGCCGCACGGCACGGCCAAAAAAAAAAAGAAGAAAGAAATACCCAAGGCGTTAGTTCTAACAGTCACTTCACAGCATAATTCTCCATTTTCAAATGAAATATTTAGCCTTTATGCCAACTGTGAGAGATTGCTTTACATTAAAAAAAAAACACCCTGGAAATAAATCTTTAGAGAAAGGACTGAATGATTTAAGTCACTTTGCACATTACAAAATGCTTCTGTAATGATTTTGGAGGCCAAGTTTCAGCTAAGTGAGAAATAAGATGCGGACTGTGTGTGATGCAGGCCTGCGCCAATCAGCGGAGCACGTGCAGGAAATAACTGAACCCACCATGCCCAGAAACCCCACCCTCTCAGTGTTTATTTTCAGGGGACCCCTCAGAACACGCCCGTTCCCCCCAGTGGACTGCTCGGTGCTTGAGCTGAAAGGCCCTGGTTTCCTGAGAAAGGCCGGTGGTGACTTCAGGAGTTGATAGAATGCCTTTTCCCCGTGGAGGATGCTGTGCTTTCTGCCCTGATGAAGGGAAGGCTCTCACATCAACACCTTCACTTCTAAAAAAGCTGGGGCCTTCCTGACACTGGACGGCGCAGGGCCTCCTCACTGATTCACCACATCCCTGAGTCATGTGAAACGATGCTTGCGAATCCAGTGCTGGGTCCCAGGCCCCTCATCAGGCAGGGCTGCCTCTCGTGAGAGCTGGGAACGGAGAGGAGGAAGGGACGGGCTTTAGCGCAGGAAGTCCTGCTTTTGGGTTCTGCCAACCAGCTGCCTGTGTGGCTTTGGGCAAGTCACCAAGCCTCAGTTTACTCATCTATGAAATTGGTGAACAGGCTCTACTCAGCTCCAGGGTGGTTTTAAGGGTCAGAGGTGGTAGATGAGAATCAAGGCACTTTGCAAGTATAAGTTAGAGGCCGCCGTGTGCTGGAGGGGAGCACCATTGTCCACACGGATGGCTGCACCTCTTTGAGCAGCCCCAGACATTCTAGAAACCAAATGCTTAGGATCCTCCATCCTCTCACCAAAACACAACTGATTCCTGCACCGCAAGTGTCCTCTCCTAGAAAAGTCACGAGGGTGCTCGAGGTCAATGTGAGACCCAGTCTGACGGCTCAGAGGTCACCCAGCAAGGGGTGCCGCACTCACCCGCTATCCTCTGCATCTTCATGCGTCTCGCCTGGATGCGGCCCTTGGCCAGGCGCTGCTTGGCGATGATGCAGCGGATGTGGTCCGAGAAGATGAAGGTGGCTTGCAGGATGGGGAAGGGCTTGGAGTGGGGGCTGGACGCAGGCTTGTGGATGGTGATATTCAGGGCGCGGCTGTCATCCTCCACGCCGGTCACCTGCATGTCCTGGGGCGGGGAGAGCGGCCAAAGAAAGGATCTCCATTAGGTTCAGTTAGGAAGGTCGTTCTGTCAGGAAGGTCGCTGCTTGGAGGCTGTGGACCCATGTCTCCTCTAGAACAAGGGCCCTCAGACTGAAGTTTGCTTTTGCTCTGAAGGAAACCATCAGTTCCCCAAGTGCAAGCGTTGAGGATGGGCACAAACCAGACCGGGCCTGGCAGGAAACAACAGGGTGGGAAGCACAGCCAGTGCAAGTGGCTGATGCTGGCTGTGGTGGCTGGTCTTGTCCCCAGAAAGACTTGAGTCAGCTGGTGAACCTGAAGAACACCAGCGGCCTGTGGGATCATAGTGCTTGACCAGGAATTGAACCCACACCCCCCTCACATTGGAAGGTGGACTCTTAACCACTGGACCACCTGGGAAGTCCCAAACCCTAACAATTCTTGCTTCTGAGAAACCAGAGATAACAAACCCAAGGTCCTAGTTCTTTCTGGCATGATTCCACCTACTAACAATTCCTTTCCTGCTTCTCTTAAGAAAGTGAAAGTCACTCAGTTGCGTCCAACTCTTTGGGACCCCATGGATTATACAGTCCATGGAATTCTCCAGGCCAGAATACTGGAGTGGGTAGCCTTTCCCTTCTCCAGGAGATCTTCCCAACCCAGGGATCGAACTCAGGTCTCCCGCATTGCAGGCAGATTCTTTACCATCTGAGCCACAAGTAAAGCCTAAGAACACTGGAATGGGTAGTCTATCCCTTCCCCAGCAGATCTTCCCGACCCAGGAACTGAACCAGGGTCTCCTGCATTGAAGGCAGATTCTTGACCAATTGAGCTGCCAGGGAGGCCCTCTCTCTTAAGAAGAGGGCATCATTAGCTATTTGTATGTCTCTGACGAATTTCTGGTCCCTAAAGGAAAAAGCTAACTCTGAGAAAGAGACATTTGAAGGAAGTTGCCCTTGAAAGGTAGAGAAGGACTCACGTAGACCAAGTATCAAGACAAATGTGATCCAAAGCCTCAGAATGGATTCTGTGCAAAGAATTTGCTTCCCACTGAAGTTTGAGTTAAAAGGCAGCGGACAGGAGACAGGCATGAAAGTCAAAGGCTAGAGGAGGGGGCAGAAATGTTGGAAAGGCTCATGAAACAAGACAGAGACTGTTCAATGGCATTCCATCTGGCATGGAATGTTGCAGTGGGGATTAGATGAGATATTACGCTTTTAAAATGGAGAGAGAGGCTGGCGCATGGTAACAGCCTGACAAATAGGTGCTCCTGGAAGACGACCAAAAGAAAAGGTTTATGTGGCTTTCATTGTCTGATGGACGACACGTATTAATCCTTTGAGGGAGAAAAACACTGTCCTGACACTAAATTCTAAAGGAAATTGATTATAAGCCTAGATAAATAAGAAGAAGCACTAAGTTACTTAATGGACAGTCTCCGACGTGGAAGTCTTTTTTTAAATGCGAGCTTCTTCAGATAGTTGCTGTGCACATCAACCTTCTGTAAAAGACATTTTTTAAATGGAAAGGTCTTGAAAAAGAGGAGGCTGGAAAATAGTTGCAACAGCGTCTTCAAACCCATGGGTGGTCCTCTCGGGGAGGGGGGTCACACTGGAGATGGATGTGGGTTGGCCCCGGCAAGGCCTTGCCAGCAACCAGGACTGCCCAACAAGGAAACAGGCCCGGCGCAGGGCAAGTAAGGCCCAGGGGGTCTGGTGGGGGCGTGGGGTTTGAAGGCTGTCTTCAACTTGCCTGGCGCTATGCTTCCTTCAACCAACCAGCTGGCATTAGTCACCCATCATTAGACAAACACTAAGAAAACCTAAGCTCCAGCTTGGCATTTGGCAATTTAAGAGCCCAGGCTTGATGGAGAGATGGAGGACACGGGAACTTCCATAAATCACCAGCAGCAACAATCATTCTAGAGAGGAAATGGGCCCAGCCCAACTTCTTTGTATCTGCCTTAGGGAAACCCTGGCCCAAGTGCACAAGGAAGTCAGGACAATTTTGTTCACGGCAGCACCATATGTGAAGGAAGAAAGCTGGGAACAACCACAGGGCGCTGACTACCTCCGCCTTGGGATGTGGTCAGGCAGCAGTTACAAGAATACCAGAAAGTCTCCATAGACTGACACAGTCAGGCCTCCAAAACATTCATTGAGTGAAAAAAAGCAAAGTTTAGAATACATGCAACATGAGAGAATAAAAAATACATATAGACACACCCTCTTTCGAGTATCTGTGTACACTTTTTAAAAGTAGTACATGCATGCTAAGTTGAGTCAGTCATGTCCGACTCTTTTGTGACCCTATGGACTGTAGCCCGCCAGGCTCCTCTGTCCATGGGATTCTTCAGGCACGAATACTGGAGTGGGCTGCCATTTCCTACTCCAGGGGGTCTTCCTGACCCAGGGATTGAACCTGCGTCCCTGCGTTGGCAGGCAGATTCCTTACTACTGGGCCACCAGGGAAGGATAGTACACGTAATTCTATTCATACATGCAGCTGGCAAAGCACCATGTCTGATACCAGAGGAGGGGAGTCAGAAGTGGGTTTTGGTTAAAGAGAACTTGGCCCTTATCTGTGAGGTGTTCTGACTGCTGTCAGGGGTAATCTGTTCACGCAGCCCTTATGTCATTAGCACCTGACTGCAAAGATGACACTTTGGTGGGTGTTTGTACAGCCAGTGGAGAAAAGCTTCCAGGCTTCTCAGCCATCATACCTGCAGAAGGCCTGCGAACTTGACCACTCCCCAGCCCAGCCTGGACACGTCGGGCTCCACCAAACTCATCTGGTAAATATCGACAGCCAGGAACCGCTGGAGCATGCCGCCGTCTTTGGTGACCACCGTGCACGCGATCAGGTCGCTGTTGTCTGGGAGGAGGGGGACAGAGAGCTGGGTGAGGTGCAGTCCGCCACACAGCCTGAGCGACACATGTGGGCTGGTGTGTGTTCCACTGGGCGGCGCAGCTCGGCGCCAGAGCCCAGCCTGGCAGTCACACACACTGGGCTCAGAGTCCCTCCTCTGAGTCATGCTGGGCAACCTTCTATATCTCTCTGGGCTTCAGATTTCTCATCCAGAAAATGGGGATCATGCCCAACCCACTCAAAGCACTGTTTGTGAGGATCGGCTCATATAAAATACATAAAGCACCAGTACAGTCACAACGAATGAGTTCCATTCCGAGAGCACGTTCTAAGTCCAATTTGTTTGTAAGTCCAACAAAGTCAGCCTAGGTACCCGACTAACAGGGTTAGCTACATAGTAATGTACTCTACTAGACTTATAATACTTTTCACGCAAATAATACACACAAAACAAACACTAAAGATGAAGAAGACATTTTTAATCTTACAGTACAGCCCCTTAAAAACAACAGTCGTATCAGCTACATCCCCGCTGCTTTTACACTGGCTTCTGGACGTGCCGGGCTCAACAAAAAGACACTCCACGACTGCGCTCTATACAGTCCTGTGCAGTGACGTACACAGAAGCACAGCCATGCGCTGAGGATGCACACGAGTGTCAGTGTATGCCAGAGACGTGAACGAACTTACGCGCTGGGACAAGTGAATGCACGTTTGTATCTCTCAAAGTTGGCAGCTTGAAGGTTTGAGTGTAGGGGACTTACTATACAATACTGGCTGTGAATTAGGTACTGCAACTGTAGCTAAAAAAACACCCAACAAACCCAGAATCTCAGTAACATTTCAGTGCTTCCCTGTAGGCATTGGTGGTTTACACCTGTGACTGTGTTTGCCCAGATTAAGTGAAGACAGGAAAGGAAGAGCCCCCGGCTTGGTTACAGAATCACCAACACTTCACCTTGGAGTCTGACAACTTACAGCCTAGCTCTGCATGAGATGGTGTGTGATTTGGGGCAAGGCACTTGGCCCCTCTAAACCACGGTTTCCCACCTGTAAAATGGGAATAATGTCCCTGATCTGGAGATGTTTGATACCTTAAAATGAGAACAGGTAGGGAAAGCATTTAGCAGGGTTCCCTCAGCTTATGCTTGGTCCCTTCTCTTGGCTGGAAGTTATTCCCAGATTTGATGTCTAATTTAGTGCCTGTCCTTGATGGCTTTGAACTCACCATGGTAACACAGGGCCAATAACTCTACGGCCTATTCTGAGTTCCTTCCAGTGAAATCCTCTGTAATATATTTTAAAAGAAATAGCTGAACTAGGAAACAACCGAAATACCCCCAAAGAGGGGAACCACGTGAGTATGATTTTTTTCCCATCATATGGAAAATTACATACCCATTTAAAAGTTATGTCTAACCAAAGTGTGAACTGTGGTTACTTAGGAGGAGGGAAGTGAGAACTGGGGGTGGGTGGGACTCTGTGTGTGTGTGTGTGTGTGTGGTATCAACAGAACTTTAATTTTTGCCCTCTGTATCACTGATTTGCTTGAAATTATTTTAAAATGAGGAGGTAGTCAACATACACTTTTGAAATACACATTAAAGACCCAAGAAAAAATCCTATTTACCAATAATTGCAACGGCACTGGGAAAGACATTACATGTTTAAATGAACAAGATAGTAAAAAACTCTGTAATTGTGAGTTTGATATGTTAAAAGATAGTATCCCTACAAAGAAATACAGGCTTGGAGAAATATACCAAAACATTAAAAGACATCTCTGATTAGAAGAATGCTGGGTGATTTCTTTTTTCCTTAAATAGTTTTATGGAGAGAGAATTTATATACCATAAAACTCACCCATTTTAAGTGTACAGTTCAAGTTTTGGTAAACTTAGAGCTGTGCCCTGTGGCACTCCAGCGGTAGAACACTGTCAGCACCCCAGTACATCCTGTAACCTAACATTTGGCTTCACTTTATTGGTGGTGGGCGATGGGGGAAAAGTAACACAGATAGTAACAGTCCTGGCCCCAAACGCAGGAGTTTGCCGAGTTTTCGCCTCCCCTCATTTTCGCTCTTCATTTAGACCCGAGGAATGACGGGCACATTTCTCCTCTGCCCTCTTCTCCCCTCCTCATTCCTCTGCCAGGGATCCCTGCCCGCACCTCCCACACTACCTCCGCTCAACGCTCTGAGCACACAGTCTGAGATCCTGGCTTCCTGGGATGTCTTCCGGTCCAGCAGCTGTGACAGGCCTTGTGATTCTGCCTTTTCTCCCCAGCATGTGACCACCTAGCGTGGCCAGAAACCCCTGGCCAACACCAGCACCAGACAGGCTCAACTCTCTGGATTGCACGTTCTCATTCTCCAGGGCAAGGAGCTTCCTCCCTTTCCCAGGAATCTAGCCAAGTATTTAACAAGAGTTCTAAAAATGACTTAATCCAGAATTTCTAGTCCCATGCAGAAGACATCTAGTCTTCTGTATCCTCAGAAATGGAAGTCCTCACACTCTTTCTTGCAAACATTTTCTCTGCAGCGCGTGGAGTTTGGCTTCCCAGGTGGCGCAGTGGTAAAGAACCCACCTGCCAATGCAGGAGGCACAAGAGACCCGGGTTCGATTCCTGGGTCGGGAAGATCCCTTGGAGGAGGAAATGTCAGCCCATTTCAGCACTCTTGCCTGAAAAAAAAAATCCATGGAGCCCTGAGGGCTACAGCCCATGGGGTGGCAAAGAACTAGACACGACTGAGCGTGCACACGCGCACACAGACACACAGACACACACACACACACACACAGAGGTCGAGTTTACTTTCTTAACTCAATACTTACATCATGTTCCCCAATTAGCATCTTTTACTTTTTAAAAAGAGAAAACTAAGCTCATAAAGGATGTTTTCTCCTTCCTCTTTTCCTTTCTCTTTCTTTCCTCTCCCCTTCCCCCTAAACAGGACAACCTGCTCTTCCTTCCCCACATTCACAAAAGAGGTTCATCTGCGGGTGAGCCCGGAAAGCAGGCACAGCCAAGGTCTGGGTGTCAGCGGGGTGTGTCAGCAGGCAACCCCCTCATAAAGCCCAGGGGCCTTTAGGGGCTTCAGGGGGGAAGGAAAGACCTACCACCTCTGCCACAAAGAACTCAAAAGGAAGGACAAAACCCCAAAGCGGAACAACTTTCAGAAATGCAGTTGAGACATCAAAGCCCCGTGAGAGATTTCACAAGAAAACTAAAAGGCAACTGTCACCAGTGAGACAGGACGGCCCTGAGAGGGAGGGAGCCCCTGGCTTTTCAGAAGCTGTGGGGGCAGTTAAGGAGAAATGAAGCGGCTTCCACGGGCTGAGCAGAAGGGCACCCGGGCATCCTTTGGGGGAGATGGAGGGAGTCTGGTCGGGGTGACCTCTGTGGGCCTCCGGGGCGGCGTCTCAGGGGACGCTTGGAGCACCTTGCCTCTCCCCGGGCTGCTCCACTCACCGGCTGTGGGCATGCCCGTCGGAGAAGGACTCCGAAGAGAGCTGCGGATTTCACTCTGAGCCGGGGGGAGCGGTGCCAGGTACCAAGGTGCCGGGAGGGAGGGGCACCTCGTGGGGAGGACGCCAGCGGCAGGCAGCTCTGTCAGGGGGCGTGCGGCCTTCTGAACCGCCCTGCCTGCCTCTGAGGGCTGGCTTGCCGTCAGGGGCGCCAGTGCGGGTGACGGGCCGTCCCTACGGTGCGTGCACGACCGACTCTCTGCGACCACATGGACTGTAGCCCGCCAGGCTCCTCTGTCCATCGGATTTCCCAGGCATGAATACTGGAATGGGGTGCCATTTCCTTCTCCAGGGGATCTTCCCGACCCAGGGGTCGAACCCGTGTCTTGTGCATTGGCAGGCAGGTTCTTCACATCTCTCAGCCCACCTGGTCTCCAGCGTCCTCCCACCAACTTCATTCCAAAGGGGTGGCGCCAAGGACTCTATTTCTTTAAATCTACAGACATTTATCAGAAAACACAGACTATTTATGTGACCTTAGGAGCAGGAAAGAATTTCTCTAAAAATGAAGAATCAATACATACAAATAAATAAGATTAAGACTGATAAACTGACTACCTCAGAATTAAAATTTAGCTCATGGATAATGAACAACTTTATAACCAGACTGGGGGAAAAATTTTCAACATATCTCTTTAAGAGGCAAAAGATGAACAAAGTCGAAAATATGAAGAACTCCACAGGCCATTCACGGACAAGAGAATAAACACACACACACACACACACACATACACAAGTGCTAGCCTTCCTGCGAAACCAGGAAACAAATGAAAACAGGATCCCACCTACTGGCAAAAATAAGTGTTAAGATAACATCGGGTATTGGTGAGGCCGTAGAAAACCTGATATTCTTAAATACTGCTGGTAGAATAAATTAACATAGCCATTTGGAAGGGCAAATCAGCATTATTTATTAAAGCTGAAAGTTTTATACTCTTTGACCCAGCAATGGGTACATTCCCAGGAAAACGCCCACCTGGGCTGAGACAGGAATAAGGATGTTGACGGTGAGATTTGGGTATGTAATGACCTAGATGTCCAGTGAGAAAGGAAAGCTTATTTAAAAAAAAAAAAAACAACAAAAACATATGGCAAGGACAAGGAGTGAATGAGATCTCTGGATGTTTCAACAAAGTTCAGTCTCAAAAACTGAGTGGAAAAAGTTGCAGCATGACAGGCTGTGACACAATTTCTGTAAAGTCAAACCACACAGGACAATCCTGTGTATTTTCTACGAACTCAAGCATATATATGTAAAAGAAAAACTTAAGAAAATGCCTGGCAGGGTGCAGAGTGATTACCTCTTTGGAGGGGAGGTGGTGGGACTGAGGCTAAGGGTCAAGGCTGTTTTAGTCCATATGGAGTATTCTGATTTTTTCAAAGAGGTAAGTTGTTTGTGCATGCTTCCCTGGTGGCTCAGTGGTTTAAAAAAAAAAAAAAATCTGCCTGCCAAGGCAGGAGATGTGGGTTCAATCCCCA